CCATTTCCGAGAAAAAAATTATCAAAATCACCAACCTGATGTACAAATGTTCGATTAATTAAGGAATATTGACATAACTGCGTGCATAGAATACCATAAAATACATCGTTTGTCACTTTTTTGAACTTCTTTAAGCTTAATTCTAAAAAATAATTAGCGTTGTAATAAATTTAAAATGCGATAAAATTCATATCGGGCAATGTAACAACGGCGCGGCGTTTAATTAACACGAGGTAGGTGTTCAGCAACCACCAATACGCAATTCAGTTGGTATCTGGATTCGACCGTGTCGGAGTGTTTTTGTGTACCACTATCTCCTTTTCTTTAGGTGTTTTCCAGCGAGTGCGCGAAAATTGGATTCGAAGGTGTCGTGCGTACATCGAAAATGGTGGTGGAGATTTTAAGCATATGTTGTAGTTTGTTTTGTACTTGTGCGTTTAAAAATTACTGATTTTACTTTGGTAAGTACCTAAATTATTTTTAATACGTATGATTATTTCGACGATGTGAATCTTTGGGTACATTAATTACATATTTTTCAAATACATAATTTGATTAAAAGTCAAGTCCCTGTTTTAAAAGATTCATAATCACTAAAATTTCAGCTAAAATTTAAGCACAACACTATCTTCGTACTACAAAATCGATACATTTTATTTTATTATTTAAACACTGGAAAACAATTGTCTTAAAATTTACTAAATGTCTCACAATAATAGTTGTTTACATTTTTTCCGTAGGACAAGTCTGTCGCGTGTATACGTGGTGTGCATCAGCAAGTTAACGTTGTGATGAAACTCCCCAATATTAATACTCGCGTTTATTTTGAATACCGTTAATCTTACGCCCCTGCAATATACAACTTTTTTGTTCATTTATGGTTACTCTGTCTCAAGCTGAAGTAATGGCAGTCAAACTTCGTACACCTTGTATAAATGTATTAGATATACAAAATTAAATTAATGTAAAAAATTCAATATGACTAAATTTTTTATTTTGTCTTCTGCCGAAATGTTCACTATTGACTATATGACGTTACTGTTCCCAATTACACAGAAAAAAATGTAAAACAACTAGTTTTTCTAGAAGCACAAGTTAATACGAATAATTCATTTATTGGGATAACAGCGTTTTACTATACATTATATATTATCATCGTGCTTGGCTGTGACTGTGACTATGACTCATATTTCGTATACAAATAATGAATTAAAACACGTCAATCCATTTTCTCCAATGTGACATGGTTCTAGAATGAGAAACTGTAATATATCGTATGTAGAACAATTGCACACACGTTTATAGTATTATGCAGCCTTTTTATGAAGCTCAGCAAGTGACCTGTCGCTTAGGAGATATTTCAAATCTGCATTGAATGCTTCAACATATTTAAATACAAGTATTAAGTTTTATTGTGCAAATTATTTAGGAAATAGAACGACCAAAAATGCGGAAAACAATACCCGTTATGATTATACTGATGATATATATTGATAGTAAAAGAAATGCAAAATGGTTATAGATGTTATATTATTTCGTATCTAGAAGTTACTTGTATCAGTAGATTCTAAGCCATTAATAGTTGGTCAATATTTTAGACAATAATTTAGCAGAAGAATATTATACTTTTGATTATTTCAAATTCCGCATGATTTAGGTTAGTAGTATTCAACCAGGGGTACGCATATCCCTAGAGGTACAAGAAAATATCTTAAGGTGTACGCGATGTGGTCTCTTAGGACAGGTAAGTACCAAAAGAAAAAAAAAATAAATTAATAATGGAACAATTTTATTTTTAGTTTCCAGTATTTATTCATTTGAGAAATAAAAACCGTATAGTTAACTTAATCTAGAAGCCTTCTTTTACTCGCATTTACTAATGTTCAGCCATGTATACTAAAAATCTGTGTGTTAACAAACAAGCTCAAATTTTTCATTTGGGTTTCAGATCTTCTGACAAAGGCTGTGCTTTGCCTAATTTAGAGAACCTGGTCTGTTCCCATGCAGAACAAGTACATCATATGGGTTTTGTCGTTTCCTCACTATATAAATAAGTAACATTCAGCTTCTTCGAGCAAGTCCAACTTGTGTAGATAATATCTCAACTAGCAGTTCCCAACTAAAGTTTGCAATTATTATAATCTGTTTCAGCGAGTTTACAGCTCTTTTTTCTTTACGTCTTCGAATGCACTAATTTTGTCAATTCTTGCAAGTGTTCAAATGTCTTTTCTCCCGCATCAGCAAGGAAGTTTTGATGGTAATGGAGCTATGTCAAGAGCCAGTTCTGGCCCAATGATGTTCGTAGCAGCACTCTCCTCTGCTAGTGAGTCTGCTCTTTCCTTCCCCTGGAGCCATGGATAACCAGAACCACTTTGATGTTGTTTCTTAATCATGCTAGAACTCTCTTCAGTTACATTGGTAAGATTCAGCCGCCTTGCCACTTGGCTATCTGTAAAAAATGTATCCACTTGTGTAAGTTGCAATTGTTCCAGCTTTCATAGCCACAACTGGATGGCATAGAAAGATAGTTGTATAGCTACCAAGGTTTATCCACAGGTTGGTCCTCGAATTGCAACTATATACTCTGGCTTCAATTCCCTTTGGAGTTTTACAGCCGTCAGTGTTTCAACATCTGTCCGCTCTCAAAATATCACTTTTATTTCGATTTCATTCATCTTTACCAGAAAGAAGAAAGGCATTTTATAATTATTTCGTGTAGGTACTATATCAGAGATTATCCACAGTAGGATGTGGTTTTCCGAATTTCATCCTCTACAGTCTTCCAAAATTTTAAAATGTCATTCTGTATACAGACAGACCTGTCCACAATATCATTGTCATCCCTCACAAACACTAAGTAGCTTATTAAAATTGTAAATAAATATATTTATTATAAAAAATTTAAAGTTGTAGAGTATTCTAAAAGGTGTATTGTAGTTTTATAAAAAATGTATAAGGAAGTTATTGACGATATTAAAAAATAATTACGGCACTCATTTGTGCATGTCCAAAGATTGAGACGACGTTTTGTATACATCATACTTGACATTTTTTAATTGCGCAATTCACAATAAAGTTTTGAACAAAGCTATTAGAAATATTGTTTAAAATTGTCAGCAAAGAGCAAAGAAAAATGTTTTCCTCAATTTTAAGTTTAAGTCGTTTTTTTTTTGTATAAATAAATCAATCACATTAAACTAATCAAATATTTTAATTCATTAACATTTAACTGATGTATTTTCATTTGAAACACTAGATGTGGCACAATTTTTGCAACATTATAGGAAAATTTAGTAGGTGTATGTAAATTATCAATATTTTCTTATATTTATCTATATTTTGCGAAAAAATAGTAAAATAAGTATATTGAAGTCCCTAACTGTAATATAGAAATATATAAGACTGGATAAACTTAAAATAATTTCGTTATAAAAGAAAAATTAGAAATAAAGAAAATGTTTCTAAATTTTAAAGTAAAAACATTGCGCTCTGAATGTTAAAATCACTTTATATTTTGAAATTATGTCTAGTACCCACACTATTACCTAGTGCTATATTTTTACTTACAATCGTCTTTAATTACACTTAAATATTAACCTACAACGTAAATATTCAACACTGTCTTCATGTAAATATTTGAATTCACGTATTTTGAATTCGAGTTGTCTTTGAATGTTGTATTCTGAATTTAAGTGTAACCATGAGTACTTTTTTAGCAAAATATTCAATAATCATGTATTGAATGCCATTTCCATATACTTCTCTGGTTATGGCATTGACAAATTAAAAAGGAATATATTATGGTGGCTCATCTATCCTAACTGAAACAGTTCCACTGAAAAATATTACTTTTAGTGTGTTATGCAAATTTTTAGTGACACTTCTTTATTATTTTGCGTTTAATAAAATAAATATATTACATTTATAAAAAATTGCAATGTTTAGAAGAGATGACAGTAAGCTTCAGATACTGCTTCCTGATCTACAACGCAGGAATTGCTGTTTTCGAGACAGGCTGTTAAATATTGCAAAAAAATTGAAAATTAAATACGATATTTTATTCAAATTTTGCGTGTAGCTTAAGTTTGGGAATATCGATAAATGTATGTACATACCATAACGTTTTTATACGCAGTAGCTTTTTTTTATCTGACAAGATGTTCCAAATTATTCCAAATTATTATTATTGCAAAAGAGGGCTCTTGCTTCATTAAGGTATACCGTTTTCGAGATAAATGTAATTATTGATAAAAATGAAATAATATCAAGTTATTTTAGAAATAACTATAATAATTCAATCACTAAGTTTATCTATGAACGAAATAAAATATTGTTTACATGCATTTCCTACTCTGTTTTTAGCAACTCAAAATAAAATTTTTATTTATTTTGCATATTTTTGTATATTAAAAACGAAACACATTTGTATAAGAACATTTTTGTTAATTTATAATGTGATACCCACCATTAAATTTTAGTTAAGCATTTTAGTTAAGTCTTGAGGTATAATGAGGTCCTAGAAGAGAAAAAAGGCGAAGAACCAGAAATTTATATTTAGACAAATTAGAAATATTTTTCAAATTTTTTTCTTTAAGTAAAAAGCAAAATCAAAATTTAGCAATTACCTAAATTCTGTTCTGTAGAGGTATTCTTTGGCTGGAATGAAAAATTAACTTATAGTTTAAAGTATCAAGTTCCATGTAAATACAAATATCAATAACAACGGTTTTTTCAACGCGACAAAATACCAAGAAAAAAGGAAACTCTGAATAATGCCGCAAATATGCAGACAATACTTGAACTACTTTGCATCTCAAAATATTACATACAAGTATTTGTTACAAATATTAAATATAACACAAAAATGCCGTAATATGCAAAATATACAACCACTTTACGATGCTAGTTTCCACCGTATCAGTGAAAGTTGCTATATACTGTTTCATCTTGCAATTTTAAAATACCTTGTTCCCTAAACTGCTAAAATAAGAGGGGAAACGCCTTGTTTTATATAAATGTTAAATCGGGATTCGTAAAACACATTCACTTGAGACACTAAGAACAAAATGAGGGCACTTCAAGTAAGAACCGTTGCATACATTTTTTTCAATATTGTGATAGTGAGTGAGACCTGTGAATGATAAAATATTTTAGTGCATCGAATCCATAATAAATTATTATATATCAGATATTTTTCTGAATCATTATTGTTGTAAATGTAGTCTATTTTTATTTTTCTTTTATATCCGTACCTATCGAGGCAGTTACAGTTTTCAAACTAAAATATTGCATTACTCAAGTTGGTATCATTCAGCGTTTACAAACATTTTTTTTTATGTAAAATTGGTTAGCTTGTAATAATTTTCAAGTATTATGTAGCTATTTTCTTCACAGATTTGTACCATCATACTGGCTGCAATTGGTAGCATTTCGTGCGGAGATGCTGTACCCAAAAAAGACAAAAGAGGAATCATAGGTCTTGGATACGGTGCCGGTTTAGGTCATTTAGGATCAGGCAGCCTAGCTCTTTCAGGTGGTCACGGTCTAGGAGGAGGATCTCTAGGTAAGTTATTGGGTTTGAATGCTATACCAAAGTTTTATTTAAAAATATTGAAATGCTTGCCAGCAAATTAAATTTGTTTTTTTTTGATCTCATTGGTATAGCCTTTCAGGGCTAAATAAAAATTTCACGTAATGTGTTGACAGGGGACTACAATAAATGTCTTAAATTGTTGTGGTATGAATTTTTATGTTATTTGGAAATTTTAAATACACTCCTTTTTAATATTATGGTATTCTTGTGATTAATGGAAAAATGTGGGTACAATCGCTTTCATGAGATTTCATCTTCAAATATATTTTTTAAGTATAATATTAAGGGTGTCCCGTTCATGTTTCAAAAAAACTTGTGCGCAAGTTCCTCATGGAAAAATAAGATGGATAGTTCATATAAAGTTTTTTCTTAGACGCCTTGTTTTCGAGATACAGTGTGTTGAAGTTATTACTTTCCAAATGGTTTTCCTTAATTATCTTTAAATCGGCTAAAGATAAAAAAGTCAAAATTTGTACACGAATCAACTGTGCGCTAAAAATTATATTCAAATGATTTCTTTCTGAAAAGCAGTGTCGCCGATACAGGTAATTGGAGGGGTACAATCGAAAAAAATTATGTTAAAAGTCAAAATTTATTACATTTCTAAAAAGTTCTGTAAACTCTAAAGCATACTACAAAAAAGGTGTATTTGTCGAAATTCGGTAGCATGTACCATTTTCGAAAAAAATTAAGTTGCGTAGAAGCAAATGGGGGACAATTTCAGCATCTACTGTAGTATTTCGAGTTTTGCTCATTTATTTAATTGTGCAGCTGTTTTGTTCTATATGAATCCGAGTCTGTTTCCTAAAATTTTTCTGTTCTTATCACTTTCTTTAATTCATGTCCATCAACAATTCACTCCATTCAACAATTGTTTATTTTAGTAATGGTAGTGTAGTAATTTACAAAATCTAAAATTAGTTATTAATAGATAATTAATTGCCCTAATCTGTTTATTTTGATTTACTTTTTTAAATGTTAGTTTACAACAATCTGAAACTTAAAATAAATTTCATTTTTTTTTTTAGTTAATAATATGTTTTACAATTTAACTGTTTCATGTGATACGTAAGAAATTAAACTTATAGTCTTAAATGCAAATACTGTTGGTAGCTAGATGTCTTCAGCTCATTCAATGGTAAAGTCCTCTTTCAATTTAATATTTTGTTAATGTACTTGTGCCGCTTTATGTGAGCAAAAAAAAACGCAACTTTATTTTCTTCGAAAATGGTACATGTTACCGAATTTCGATAAGTATACCTTTTTTTTGTAGTATGCTTTAGAGTTTACAGAACTGTTTAGAAATGTAATAAATTTTGACTTTAAACATATTTTTCTTTCGACTGTACCCCTCAATTACCTGTATCGGCGACACTGCCTTTCAGAAAGATACCTTTTGCACATTATTTCTTAACGCACACTTGATGTTTACTCGTGTACACATTTTGACATTTTTATCTTTAGCCGATTTAAAGATAATTTAGAAAAACCATTTGGAAAGTAATAACTTCAACACACTGTATCTCAAAAACAGGGCGTCTAAGAAAAAACGTTACATGAACTACCCCCATTATTTTACCATGAGGAACTTCACACAAGTTTTTTTGAAAGATGAACGGGCACCCTGTATAGTTTAAATATATGCTTCGAAAAATTTCAAAATTTTTATCCAGCCCATTACACAAGACGCAAATTTTATTTCACTTTTTCTGTGTTCAACTTAAAAGAAAAGTAAATATTATTTTCATAGTGGGTATCCAACAAATATTTACTAATCTCTCGGGAGCTTTTAGTGGCAATCAAAATAACGATACTGCTTCCTGTATATTCTTTTTCCTAACGTTGCACCTCACTGTTCTTTTTAGATACTTTGAACATTTTCTTTGCAAAAGGTACTGTTTATTTCGATAAATTGAACAAGAGTTTCATTTTTTCAGTTTATTTCATGAACTTCCTTTATTTACCAAATCCAAAAAATCTTTAGAAACAGCTGAAAATACATGTTTACGATAAAAAAAAGATTTATTAAACAAGCACCTTTAGTGATCAAGTGAACCAGATCGTCCAACAAAATAAGTTCAGTTGTAGCTGTCTGTTTCAGAAACTGATTTATATCAAAAACCCTTTATTTTATCGAAATAAATTAAGAGTATTAATTTTGGAGAGAAATCTTAAGAGACTCCTTAAAAATTGAAACCTTGAAAAGAATTTGGCTTATTTGGTTTGCCAAAGGCGGACTAGCTATAGCACAATAATGTCATTTTTTTTACACCCTTTACACAAAAATAATATTTTTAGATAGCTTGAACCTTAACCCAAAAAAGACACTCATGGTTGATATCGATAAAATGAACTGTTTTCGGGAAAAACTATTAGTCTTTAATATAATTTTTATTACGTCTGTAAAGAGAAATAAACCGATGAAATTTGCATTCTTTCTGTGCCCATCTAAAAGTCTTACCTGTTGTACATCGTATTAAAAAATCATTAAATTACACAAAGTATTTTAAAAGTTATTTAAAAATCGATTGTTAGGGGCGTCCTAGGGAAAATTTTTATAGGACTTATCATGTTATTTTAATGCCCCCTGTATAAATCCGAGGGATTGCCTACATAGTTTGGGACACCCCGTATAAATAAGTCTACTTTCAGTTTCCTAAAACAAACATACTTTTCTAGGTTTAAGCAGTGGTCTCGGCCTAAGCGGCGGAAGCATTTCCCTCGGAAGTGGTCTCGGCGGTGGAGGAATTGCCCTGGGAAGCGGTCTCGGCGGTGGAGGAATTGGGCTGGGAGGTGGTCTCGGTGGTGGAGGTATTGCCCTGGGAAGTGGCCTCGGTGGTGCGGCGTTAGGAGGAGGCAGTACTCATACTATCACGACCGTAAACCGAGCTGTGCCAGTCCCAGTACCCCAACCATACCCAGTACCAGTTAATCGTCCAGTGCCCGTACCAGTACCGCAGCCTTATCCAGTATCAGTGCCACGCCCAGTACCCGTGCCGGTACCACAACCCTACCCTGTAACCGTCACCCGCCATGTTCCAGTCGTAGTCTCAAGACCAGTGCCTGTACCCCAACCTTACCCAGTGCCTGTGTCGGTGCCGCATCCAGTACCAGTTAGAGTACCACAGCCGGTACCAGTTGCGGTACCTGTACCACAACCAGTGGCTGTGTCGTCAGGACCAGCGATTGGAATCGGTTCTGGATTTGGTTCTGGCATAGGTTCTGGCTTAGGGGCTGGTCTAGGCTATGGTTTAGGCTCTGGTTTAGGAGTTTCCTCTATATCGCTCGGTTCAGGACTAGGTCATGGTGGAATAGGCGGTGGCCTTATTGGAGGTGGCCATGGAGGATTTGGAGGTGGCCTCATTGGAGGTGGCCATAGTAGCATAGCACTGAGTAAAGGCTGGTAGATTATGATCGACATATAAGCTGCTCATCATTTAAGTCTCATGTGAAAACCATTATTTGTATATAGCGTTCGAAATACATATAGTTTTTTTACATAAATGTTGTTGTAATATTTGATTTTTATTTTTAATAATAACTATTTAAGTCTTTCATAAGGCGGAATTATATTATTTTCTCCTTACCATAAAATATTGATCAGGCACTGTACAATATGAGAAATTTATACAAAAGTATAGATATCGTGTAGTCAAGATAGATTTTGACTTCGCGAAAATTACTGGAAGAGAAAACTTTTTATTTTTCGCTTTGTAAAGTTATCAGAAACAACACATAAAAAGTTACCAACTGTAGAGTGTACGCTAAATTATTTATTTAACAAATTAGTTGCAAAATTACAGTTTGTGCAAAATATATATAAACATATAATTTAAAAAAAATAACTCGCCATTCGAAAGAACAGGAAATTTTACATAAAAAATGTTAATAAAGTTTTTTTTCTAAAATGCGAATTGAAGGCTGTAGAATTTTTTTTCTAACGTACGAAAAATGAGACGGGCGACCCCCAAGTATAGCTCTCTAAGAGCACGCGGCCCCGAGCGCGCTACACTAAATTTGTTATAACTTTTGATCTAATTGATCAAATCGACCTCACAAAAATTTAAATGAGAGAAGAGTCATCCGGCTATCAAAATTTTATGTCTTTAAAAAAATATATAGTACGTATACAAAGTTACGTCATTCTATAATTTTGTACAATAATAATAAATAGCCGTCATTCTATTTTTTATTTTTTAAATAAATATCTGTAACTTTCACAGATTATTCTTCAAATGACGATTGACACAGTGAGCGATATGGAAAAAATCTTAAAAATTTAATTTGAAAAATATTGAGCACAACATATTCAATAATTTTTAAAAATCACAAACTTGACTTTTTAGGCCATACTTTATAGATCAAAAACTATAGTTGTAAATGTGATATTGAAACTTTATGAGAGCACTTTTTAAAGCTTTAAATCTCTACTTTAAGATGGTGCATTTTATTTATTTTTTTTTAAATTGAAATAAAACCTGAAAAAACAAAAAATAACAAAAAATATAAATATTTCTTGAAAAATCCGTGAAATTTATTGTTAAATAAAGTTTAATAATGTACAACAAAATTTTTTTTTGTTTAATAAACCATCAAAGAATTAAATAAAGTCAATTAATTTAAGTTAGGTTAAGTTAATTAAGTTAATTAATTAATTTTTTTATTTATAATAATAAGTGGAAAATTACATTTTTTGATGAATTGATTTAATATTCATTTTTAAAACGTATATTCTGTATCTGAAATTATGAAAGAAGTTCTCTTATTAGATATGGTTGTAGAATTTCTCCGGGTTTCCTTCCGCGATGAATCTGTATGGTCATCAAAAGAACCATTTGACGACGTTTCGGTAAAATCTCATTTACTATCTTCAGGTCTTCTTACTTCTGCTTCGCGTTACTACGTTCGTCTTACTAATTTGTCCATTTTGAGATTATACTCTCGTACACTTGTAATTCTTTAATTTAATATTATTACTTAATATTACAAATAATCTTCAGTTTGCATTTAAGGTATTTATATTCGTTTTATTTTATTCTAAACCTGTAAATGTATGAGTTTAATATTTATACATGAATCCATTTCCATTTTAATCTCCATTATCAATTTTTAAAATAATGAATAAATATGTAAATAATAGGGAACGAAGAAGAGCAAGAACTCGATGAGATTTAAAAATTAATTATTTTGTAATAAATTTGTTTTTTAAAAAATAAAACATATTTTCAATAAAACCTCTTTAGAGATTTATAGTTTTCATTTTTCGAACCTCTATATTACTAATATGAGCGAGTATGATTTAAAATCGATAATTGTTAAATAAATTGTTTAAAATAGTCGGCCATATTGGATCAGCCATTTTGAATTTTCATTTTTTGACATCATATGCTTGTTTAGCGACGTCAAAAACCCCTATATTACAAATATAAGCGAGTTTGATTTAAAATCAACAATTGTTAAATAAATTGTTTAAAATAGTCAGCCATATTGGATCAGCCATTTTGAATTTTCATTTTCCGACTTCATATTCTTGTCCAGCGACATCGAAAACCCCTATATTGTCAATTTGAAAGAAATCGTTTTGAAATTCATTGAACTATTTTAAATGTTCTTAAAAAAACTATTTATTATTGTTTAAACAATTAAAAAACAATTAGCGTACAAAAATAAGTTTATAACTTTTTTCTAATACTTATCTCTTAGTAATTTCAAAAGGTTTTAGGAAAATCCATGCTTCCCATAATTATTTCGAAATAATGCGTAATTTTAAGCTATTTGACTCCACTAATAGTAAAACGCTTAATATCAAAGTTTTTATAGTATTACAGTTTAGTACAAACGTTTATTCAGCTCTGCGCAAACATTAAAGATATTTTAATGAACTGAAATAATATATGGAGAAACAGTTCACAAAAGACTATTATTGCATTAAATATGAATAGCGGATTCTTATCCCCTTAGTCACAGATCATTTTGGTATTCTGTTTCATCTGAATTTCTACTATCCTGGTGGAGGTCTCCCAAGATTTTGATTAATCAACAATCGGAAGTTCTTGTATTTTGAATAATACATGCCTATAATCAAGACGAGGTCGTAATTCATGAAAATACCATGAAGAATTCATTGCTTCTAATAGAACTAAATGTTAAATATAATTACCTATATAATTTTATCTAGTTATGACGTAGAGAATAAATAGAAGAATAATTAATATGAATATATTATCGGGGAGAGTGGCAAAAATTATTACAGACATGTATGTATATGTATTAGACTGAGTAATAAATCTGGCTTATAATGTAGTAGAGTATACAAATAAGATACAATACGAGAGTGGACTACTAAAAGTTATTAACATTCAAATGATATTAATTTAATAAATTTCCAACCAACATAGAGATTTAAAGTTTGACATTCGAATTTTTAGATTATCCAATAAAACGACACCTTAGACTCGCTAAGATTACGTGACAACTTAAGTGGCCGAGTATATGTGACAGTTTAAAAACAGTTTGATACTGCTGTAGAAACAAACCTAATAATATATCTAACGTTGATACACTGAGTTTGAGGTTATACCAAAGTATACTATTCCTATCAAATAACTATATTTACTGTAAATATTTGAAGACATAAAACATATAAAAAGGTATAAATAATTTAGATCAGAAAATTATTATTTCTAAAAATTGTTGAAATATAAAATATAGTTTGAAGTATTTGAGAGTGTTATAATGCGTTTTATAATACGCTTTTGTTTAATTGTTATTTTTCCTTTAAGATTAAAAATTCTATTTGGATGGAGAATGAGACACATCTTACTTTCATGTACATAAAAGACTTATATCCCTGTGAAGTAAATTAATAAACATTCCATAAAGTTTGAGCTGAAAAAAGAAAGACATATATAAAATTCATTCAGGTAAAACAGAAGTCGTTTAATGATAGTATTATCCAGTAAACAGTATAGAAGAATTTCCAAGCTTCTAAGAACATTCTAGAACCATCATGAAACAAATAAGTAAATAAGTGTATAAACAAAGTACACTAGGACGAATTTTTCTACACTGTCCCCCTCCTAAAGATGATCGTCTCGGATTACCAATCAGAGGTGTCTTCGATGGGTGCTAGGTATTGGGCCAAACGAATCAAGTAAACGACTTTCAAACTTCATTTAATGTCAGACATTGTCAAGAATAGATTCATTTGTCTAACTTGAATGAGTAGTCTTCTGGTGTGTCAGTTTGATCTTCGAGGTGACCATATACAATGTCGAAGAGTAGGCTGGCCTGGCTGGTGTTCTTCCGGTAGTCTCCCCTATCTGGCATTAGTTCATCCTGCCCTGTCTTCATATCAGATCTTGGTGCATCTTGTCTTGTCTTAATTTCCATAAGCTGTTTCAGTGACTTTTTCATTTCTGTTACTTTAGGTCTTGTGCTCCCTGGCATTCACTGTCTTCCCAAATTAATAATATTCAGAATCCCACTTTTGACATCATTTTGTACCACCGAATTTTCTAACTTAACCTTCAAAAAGCTCTATTCGTACATAAGAGAGCGGCCCGGCCATTTATAGGTTTCCTGTTGTTTCCTCAAATTTCCATAGGTGTCTAAGAACAATATAGAAGAACCTCCAAGGTTATAAGAACATTCTAAAAAACCATTGTAAAACTAATAAGTGAACAAATGTATAAACAAAGCACACTACGGCGACTTTAGCTACAAAATATTTACGACTATTTAGGATTGAAGATGGACAAAATAGTCCAGGCAAGTTAGACCAAAATCACCCAGAATACGAAATTTTTTTTTCTGATGAACCGATCGAGTTGCGGTTTTCGGCATTGTCTTCGGAAAAATATCAGAAAAAAAGTCTATCTATTACACTTTGGGGCTCGATCAAAACTGCATTGTGGGTGCATAAACTGCATCTTGGAGTGCATCAATTTTTCCGAATTTTCTAAAAATGGTAAAAATTGACTAAAAGTTGTAGAAATTTGTGTGCACGTGTTTTTGGGGTCGGGGATTTCGATTCTGACACTGAAAAGAATGCTCGACGCCCTATGGCTCCCCAGGGGGGCAAGGGGGGTCTCCGACCCCGAAAACCCGTGCACACAAATTTCTACAACTTTTAGTCAATTTTTACCATTTTTAGAAAATTCGGAAAAATTGATGCACTCCAAGATACATTTTATGCACCCGCAATGCAGTTTCGATCCAGCCCCAAAGTGTAATAGATATACTTTTTTCCTTATATTTTTCCTAAGATAATGCCGAAAACCGCAATTCGATCGGTTCATCAGAAAAAAATTTCTGATTTATTGTCTAATAAATTATTTTATTATCTGTCTGTCTATTGCCTGGTCTATAATATTGTTAGGCACATATAAAAAATAATTGTAATTGTTTCTAACATTAAACAGAAGAGTGAGTTATTATCTATTATAAACTATATTAATTCACCACTATGGACATATTAATAAAAATATGTTTCAAACCGCTGTGTCTGATGATTGTACTTATGAATGATTACACAGGCCGACAAAATTTAAAAAAAAAATCCAGAGATCAGACACTACGCTTCCGAAGTCATTTGGAGCGCTGAATCCGAATCTGGACTCAGAATTGATCCATCACCCTAGGTTTCCGAGATATTCTAACCTAAAGGTGCAAAAAACACGTACTTTTGCTATATTCAAGGTTATGTAACTTGGCGAAAAAATTTTTTTTCGCAAAACTGAAAACATCATTGGAAACGACTATCTTTCCCCTTCAAAACGCATTTTTTATTTGGAAAAAGCTCTATTTTTCGCGGAGATATCGTCAGTTTAAGATGACCAGTATGGCTATATTATTACATCATGGCTAACCCCATAACACTGAGCGCTGCTAGCCCTAATTGTTAGGAACGTTAACCCCAAGCCCTATAACCCCACAACACTAAGCGGAGCGAGCCCTCATCGTCAGGAATGTTAACTTCAAGCCCTATAACCCAATAACACTAAGCGCTGCGAGCCCTATTCGTCAGGAAGGTTAACCCCAAGCCCTATATGTCTGGAAGGTTAATCCCAAGCCCTATAACCCCACAACACTAAGCGCTGCGAGCCCTCTAAGGCTCGTAGCGCTTAGTGATATTGTGTTATAGCCATGGTTCAATAAGGAAGCTATACTGATCATCTTTAATCGACGATATCTCCGCGAAAAATAAAGCTTTTTACAAATAAAAAAAATGCGTTTTGCAGGGGAAAGATAGTAGTTTCCAATGATATTTTCAGTTTTGAGAAAAAAAAATTTTTTCGCCAAGTTACATAACTTTGAAAATAGCAAAAATACGTGTTTTTTTGCACTTTTAGGTTAGAATATCTCGGAAACCTAGGGTGATGGATCAATTCTGAGGCCAGATTCGGATTCAGTGCACCAAATGCCTACGGAAACGTAGTGTCTGATCTCTGGAATTTTTTCCTTGTTGGCCTGTGTTATCATCTGTTTGCTGGATATTGCAGTTATAATTCCCACAATAGCATTTATTAAAACCATTAAGTTAATGGTTTTTACAAATCATATTTTTAGATTTATTATTTCAATTTACACAATTGCTTTCCACAATTTAATGTAGTACCTTTTTCAGTTTAGAAGTGATAAGTTTACTGAAAGCAACATAAGGAGATTATGCGGAGCATTATTCCAGCAGTGTGAGATTGATTTTACCTTGTCAAATAGTCAAATGACTATCCTTAAAACTAATGACTATCAAGATATACTAGATTCTACACCAAATGATGGTTAGATAGAATAAGCCTTAGTCAGTTTTTGTAATTTGAATGTAAATTTGAATAAAATATGTATGTAGAGCATTTATTATATTAATCATTACCGCACTCGTAACTGAAAAATTAAAACATAAATTTTGATATTAATATTAATTAATATTAAACATAACAAACAGCATTTGTAAATATCTGAAACAAAAATGTAGTCAAAAATTATAATTGTAGGTGGAAGGTGGAAAATAATAATATAATTCTAAATAATTCTAGAACTGTATCCAGAAACTATTCATTTTCAAACATAAATATCGACAATTATTATTACCCTATGATCGAAGTACACGTATAATAGTAAAATAATCCTCAATAACAGATCAATATTCCGAGAGGCGTATTTAAATGTACGTAACTGTATGCAGTGAACGCAAGAGACTTTTGAAGTTTAGTAGAGGTTATCACATACAACAACATAAAACAATAATCTATTTAGATGGGTATTAATAGTACTTGTGAATGACACTTTATTTGCAACTTTTTTTCAAATTGATTTGCTGTTCTATTATTTAATTAAATCACAGTATTCGCAGTACCCTGTACTTTAATGTAATTGATACTGTTTTAATCATAAATATAAAATATGAAACCTTATGCGGATGAATATAGATATATCAAGCTCTAATAACGACCGGAAACTCATTTTTGTTTCTTGATTTTTGATTATATATTTAGATTTTTATATTAATAAATTAAGTCAAAATAGAAAACGAAATTGTAATTTATTTAACATCAAAGTACGACAGAATTTGCAACATCCTATGCTAATTACTTAGGCGGAATCAAATTAATTTTTAATATCTACAGATGATCTTCTTAATCAGAGAAAGTATATCTACAGTTGGACACAAATTTGAATACATAAATATTTTATGGGGAGAAATGCGTGTGGATATATATAAAGGGACAAAAAAAAGGCAACCAGTACATCTTCCCAACACCACAAACATCTGTGCTACCATGAGGGCTTTCAAGGTAAGCAAATATTCAGATAATGTTTGCGAGAATTAAATTCTGTATGTTTACATACTGTCTAGATCGAATGTTTATACTGAAGCTTGGCTTAACAATATTAATAAAAATATATAATTTTGACAAAATTACAAGTAAAACAATGTAATATATTTGAAAATTTAATGAATAATTTATACGTGATAAAATATTAAAAACTGGGCATTATTAATTTACGTATTCAACATATAAATATAGATGCTAAAGATAATAGACAAATATCCAGTAGTGCTAATTTCTGATAAGGTACATTGAACAGTAGATCACAATTATGTAGCAATGAAATATATTTATTTTAAATATAGAATTTAATCAAACTTAACCTGATCTTACATAATTTAATATTAGGTGTTTAAAATACCTCAATCTATATGTTTGTATAATGTTAATAACCGTTATTGAAATTCCGTTATTTTTATTGTGTACATTGAACAATTTGACTGTTTATAAAAAAATAACATAACATAGGTACTAAGCACATTTGTTATTTCTAGATTTTCGCGTTTATCTTAGCCGCAAGTATTTCTTGTGGCTTCGCAAAACACGAAAAAAGAGGCTTGCCAGCTCTGGGGTACTCTTCTGGATTAGGATTAGGCGGAGGCCACTTTGCACCTACTGGTTATGGATATGGATACGGAGGATTTGGTACTTTAGGCGGTGTATCTTTTGGAGGCAGTGCAGCCTTAGGAGGAGGTGGTGTTCTTCTAGGAGGTGGTGGTATAGCCCTAGGCGGACCAGTTCTATCTGGCAGAACCACATTCTCCACAATTAACCAACCGGTACCTGTACCTGTACCGCAACCCATACCAGTATCTGTTAATCGTCCAGTTCCCGTGCCAGTTCCGCACCCAGTACCAGTAGATGTTCCACGTGCAGTTCCTGTAGCGGTACCCAGAGCGTATCCTGTAGTGATAAACCGCCCTGTACCCGTGGTAGTACCTCGTCCTGTGACGGTACCTCAGAGAGTGGTTGTACCTGTGCCTCAGCCTGTACCAGTTCGAGTGCCTATTCCTCAGCCTGTTCCAGTATCAGTTCCACAGCCTTATCCTGTAAATGTACCAACGCCAATAAGTGTCCCTGTACCAGTAGCTGCAGCAGTTCCTATAGCTGTTGGTTTTGGTCCAGGATTTGTGGGTGGATTAGGAATAGGCGGTTATGGAGCAGCGCTTGGGTCTGGATTGGGATTCGGTCCCAGCTTGTTACCTTATGGTAAATACTGAGGCAGCTCGTGTAGTATTAAATATTGTTATCTTTATTTGTTGTTCTTTCGCTAATTTAAATAAATGTTTGTTTTTTTAACTTTTCTTATACGGTATTTACAGTCCTCTTTATAAACAGTAATGAGATTCAGGATGTACAGGAGGTTTCCAACTTAACGTTTATGGGAGTTATGAAATGTTAAAAAATTGTTCTGCAATCTCCTTCCATTTAGCAGAAGAAAGTGTTTGTGTGTGACTTACATATTCTTTGATATTTGAAAATACTTAAATATGAAAAGTTGCATTAGATGTAGGTCGGACAAGCACGCCATGATAATTAACAAATTCCAATTGTTTTAAGACTTTAGTTGCCACCTCAAACACCAAATCTTCTTTTTAATTGGCGTTATACAAATATTTATAAAATCCAAAGCACGATAAATACAATTTGGAAAAAATAAATCATAAAAATACATAACAAAATTATAAGAAAATCAAACGACATAGCTACATGAATTTAAAGGGTGTCCCAAAAGTAACGCAGGATTTGAATTGTGCGCCATTTTCATTTCGAAGAGTTGGCAGCATTGTGGAGAGACACATGTAGTAAACACGCATATTACGTGGAATTTTCAATAACAAAGCAGGCCGAATTCGTACTGGCCGTTCAGCAGAAAATATCGCTACGGTGAGTTCAGAGTTGTTTCATTCGGAACGTTTGTTCTACCGGAAATTCCACGTAATTCGCGCATAGTCTCAGCTATACAGGGTGTCCGGTAAGTACCTCCTAATCTCTCGGGAGTGTATAGGGGAGGTCAAAATAAAACTAGTCCTTCCTATAATTTTTTTCCTAATGTGCCCCCTAACGGAGTTATGGGGGGTCAAAGGGGTACCTAGAAATTAACGTTTAGGGTTATAACTTTGAAACCACCCTGTATATTTTAATAAAATTTTCGTACGTTGTATTACACATGGAGCTCTACGATTTGATGCTAAAATCAACTTTTTGCTATTATCAGGTGTCCAGAAACGGACTGGCCCTATCACAATTTTTCTCAAAATTTTGACAGAAGTAATTTTATCAAACTGAAAATATTATTATTAGATACTCTGAAGGTTTTTCTTTAAAAATGGTACTCTTTATTTATTTCGAAAAAATGAACGGTTTGCGAGATAAATCGGTTTTGAAAAAAATTGGTAACAAATACAACAACAATTAAAATTTATTTTTTTTACATATTATTTCATGCATTTAATTTCTTTAACTTTATCAAGTCCAGAAATCTTTGAACGGGTTGGCTATACTTTATGAGCAAGTAGTGACCAATTAAAAATAACATTTGAAAAATAACTTACTTACAAGACATGCAACAAAGAACATTCAACAATGAACAAAGGTACCTAAATGTTACTTCGGTAGATGTTCAAAATGAGCACCCCGTACTTCAATGCACTTTCTAATCCTACGAATGTTTTCCCGGTGCACTTGAAATAATATTCCGTGATTATTGCGGAGATGGTCACAGTTCTGTGTTAGCCTCAGCAGAAGTTCCTCTCTACTATTTACGGGTGTTGAATAAACGTTATTTTTTAAATGACCCCACAGAAAAAAGTCTAATGGGTTTAGGTCGGGCGACCTAGGTGGCCATAATACAGGTCCGCCTCGACCTATCCATCGATCACCAAAAACATTCGTCAGATGTTGACGTACTAAACGATCAAAGTGGGGTGGTGCACCGTCATGCATGTACCACATTTCAGTTCTTATTTGAAGGGGCACTTCTTCTAACAAAATATTTAGATTTTCCTCTAAAAATTGCAAATAAAGAGCACCATTAAGTCTTTGCTCCAGAATAAATGGACCAATCAAATGATTCCCGATAATGCCAGCCCACACATTCACCATAAACCTTTGTTGGTAGCGAGTTTGAACTAAAGCGTGAGGGTTTTCTTCATCCCAGACATGTAGATTATGCGAATTAATTATGCCGTCTCTTGTAAAACCTGCTTCATCGGTGAACAAAATAGATGTACCAAAATTATGATTCCGAATATGATGCTGTAAAAACCAATTGGCGTATTGAAGTCTTTTTGGATAATCATCTGGAGACATAGCATGTACTTTTTGGATGTGGTACGGGTAAAGCAATTGTTCTTTCAGAGTTTCATGTACAGCCCATTTTGTAACATTGTTTTGCGCCGCAAGCTTCCTTATGCTATTTGAAGGATTATTAGCAACGTCTTCCAATATTTGTTCCTCTACATGAGGGTCTCGTACTCTCCTCGGGGCTCCTGCTCCACCACGGCGTGGCAAAAAGCTTCCTAAATAAAGGATTCGGAAGAAATTAGTTTCACTAACGTTTTTCACTATTTTTTTTTACCTGTTTCTCTTAAACTACGATCAACTCTTTCAAAAGTTTTTGGACTCGGCAAATGTCGACCCGGAAACCTTTCCTCATAAAGTCTTCTTGCCTCCACGGAGTTGCATAATGCTTCCCCATAAATTAGGTGCATATCAGCATATTCTGCACAGGAATATTCTTCCATTTTTAAATGTTATTTCTAACGGCTTAAAACGAATACCACAATAAAATTGAATTTTTATTCTGTCACGCGCCTTTGACAAGTACTTTAAAATCAACAGGGTCTAACAACGAAAACAATAGAAAAGAACTCCATGGAGACAAGAGCAATAATAATTTGTAGATGTATTTTGGTCATAGATGTTGATTTTACAAGAAACGGCATTATTCATTCCCTTAATTCACCACCAGTAAATGTTTATGGTGAATCTGTAGGCTGGCACTAGCGGGAATGATTTTATTGTAAAAAAATAAATTTTAATTGTTGTTGTATTTGTTACCAATTTTTTTCAAAACCGATTTATCTCGCAAACCGTTCATTTTTTCGAAATAAATAAAGAGTACCATTTTTAAAGAAAAACCTTCAGAGTATCTAATAATAATATTTTCAGTTTGATAAAATTACTTCTGTCAAAATTTTGAGAAAAATTGTGATAGGGCCAGTCCGTTTCTGGACACCTGATAATAGCAAAAAGTTGATTTTAGCATCAAATCGTAGAGCTCCATGTGTAATACAACGTACGAAAATTTTATTAAAATATACAGGGTGGTTTCAAAGTTATAACCCTAAACGTTAATTTCTAGGTACCCCTTTGACCCCCCATAACTCCGTTAGGGGGCACATTAGGAAAAAAAATTATAGGAAGGACTAGTTTTATTTTGATCTCCCCTATACACTCCCGAGAGATTAGGAGGTACTTACCGGACACCCTGTATACTCTCCATATAGCGTTCCACTACGTCTAACAGCAACGTGTTTACTACTACATGTGACTCTTTACAACGTTGCCAACTCCTCGGAATGAAAATAGCGTACAATGCGTTACTTTTGGGATACCTGTTATAAAACATAACGTAAGTTCTAAACTACAAACTATAATATATTTTACGCTCATACGGAGTATATTTCTAGCTTCTTGTAAGTATATTATTTTAAGCAACCTAAATTTAATGGCGTTTTATAAATTCCATTTTTAAGAGTTATATTTTTAACATGCACTGCATGATAATTTTGTGAACATTTATGGTAACATTTACCAACTATTATTGAATTGTTTTGGAACCGAACCCCATTGGACGAGTTTTTCAAACACAAATATTTCCTGAATTAATGCTGGAATGACCTATTGTTTAAAAAGTTCTTTTGCACTTAAGAACCTTATGAAAAGTTAACGATATAGGTATTTTATTTTTCTGAAGCCATTGGAATATAATACAAAGTAGTACCAAATATAAAAGATTTCATATTTTCAAATATTTTTTAGTATCTGGAATCTTTAAATCACCTCATGACTAAGATTTTTCACAATACTCAAGGTAAGTATGTTGATTTAGAACGTAAACAAGCCCTATAAAAGAACTACATATAAATAATAATTATCCACATTTCTATTAATATGAATAATAGCTATAACAAGTGCAGCGTTGTGTAATAAAAATATTGTTATGTAAACATACTATTTAAAAAATATGTTACTATTACTCTAGTTTATAATCATTTATAGTACCCAGCGGACCATAAGGAGGTATTGCCGCGTAGCGGTCGAAACTGAAACTGCACGAATGAACGTCAAAAAACGCGCGAAAACACCAAGCCAATAGGAAGGTACCACAAATGATCGACCAGGCACAATTTGTTGTGTAGAAATATTGTTCAGTATTCGTTAAAATAGTAGTTTTAATATAATTAATTTTAACCTTAGTTTAGTTTGCATTCAAAATAACCCGCTATTCTGTTCAATTTTTTATTCTTTTTTGTCTAATTTGCGCGATACCGACTTGCGACTCACATAACTACATGAGGATGGAGATTAGAAGTTGGAGTCGTCAGTTGTTCACGCTTAATCGCTGGTTTTCACGAGTGCCGCTATTTGATATAACATACTTTCGCTTTATTAAATTGAAGTGTGCCGCAATTTTGTTTCACCCCGTTTCCACTCCGGACTGAAGACTGAGGGCCCTCTGCAACAGGGAAGACCCCGGAAATTCTGCGGTAAGTCGCAAGCCACTTTCAAAATTTACCGTAAAGACACGCTACGTGCCCAGTTCCATTTAGCTGGAGCTATCCAAAGTAATTATAAAACACAACAAATTATTCAAATATATACCTATATATCGTTATTATTAAAATCTATATGTATAAAATATTATTGTGTGTGGTTTTTTATAAAATTTAATTTGATTTAATTTATGATGCTGATTTTAATTTTGTCAAATTTTTGTGTTTTATGTATTGAGTGTTGCTTTGTATTTTTTGGTTTTGTTTCTGTAATTATTTTTTTATTTAGATTTTGGATTGCAAGTATTTAAATTTGTTCAGGTAAGTCCTGTTATTTTAATTTATCCTTTTTCTAAGGTATACTGTATTAATACTGTACTATTTGTAGGTTATAGCTATGAATTAATATTCTAGTGCACTTTATTTTTCTATTTTTTAGGTACCTGTTGGTTACTGCTTGCTTCTTTCCTTGTTGGAAGCGCTGACGATGTCTTTTGTACCATTTATGGGCCACTCGAATACCTCTCTGGATACTGCTTTATACTGGTTACAAAATTTTTCTTCACTGGCCAATTTTCTTTATGTGGATTTTGAAGACAAACGATTTTCGATGTTACTAGTAAGTTTAATTTACTTCCTGACTGTTTTTCTTGAATTTTATTTAATTTTTGTTGGAGCTACTTCTCCTTTCTAGCTTTTTACCAAAAACCCAAGCCGTAACTAGTCAATAAACCTTTTGTTTTTTTATCCTTCTGGAAATTTCTAGTCTTTAATTTCCTTTAAGGTCCCTTTACATAAATTCCAGTCTTTGGACGTCCCTTTTTCACAACACTTTCACTGCACTTATACCTAATACATTTGTTACAATGTCCTTTTATTTTTAACATATAAATCTATTACTTATTATTAAATATTCCTTATTTTATGTTATTTTTTCTAGGTCATCTTCTGGTACTTGTAAAGCCAACTTTAGTTTTGACATGTGATAAAATTTATAATTTAATTTGACATTTGATAATAAATTTTCATATATGACTTCAGTTCATTTAAGATATCTTCTCTACAGTTACTCGTATACCAAATCTATGCATATCAGATTCATCTATGGATATTGGGCTTTCTTTTGATATATGTCATACTGGGTTTAAATTCTGTTTTCTCACTGTACTGGGTGTTAACACGTGTCGATGTCATGTATTCTTTTGAAAAATTTATTTTGTATTTGTGAATTAAATTAAAATTATCAATTTTATACTATGTGATATTATTTAATTGATACTTATTTTTATTCAGTCTTTATATAAACAATTTTATACTACTTTATTGTTTGCTGTATTAATAATTAATTGTTATGATCCAAAGTTCGGTCAGGTAATTTTTCAATCGTGATTCTTTGTGTGCCTTTCCAGTTCGTTACAATATACTATTACGTAGCTCATTTTTAATTTTCATTGTTATTAAAACAAAAAAATTGGAGAAAGTCACTGTATTTGTTACTGGAATTATGAAGAATCTGCGCAGAGAAAAAGATTATTATTTAACTTCTTTGTTGAGAAAATTCGTATTGTTTGATAGGGTTATATATAATTTTTACAATTAAAAAAGAAATAAATTTTAATTTTGCTGCATATAAGAAATGCTGTTTATAGGTAGGTATAGTAGACACAACAACATAATTAAAATACATTTATTTTCTTTGATATTTACGAATTTTTTTGTTTGTTTTTGTAGTGAGTGGAACAGATTAAATATTTAAACTTGTCAAAATATATTTTTGTCTGACTGCAAAATATACTGTTGCCAGTGTAATTTTATTTTCATTGGAAGTTGTCAAAAAAAAAAAGTTTTCTTGTGTAGTACAGAGTGTTCCGAACTGCACAAGCGTAACTTTTCCTGGTGATAGAACACCTCAAAATAAGAAAAAATGTACATTTAAACACAGATCGCAGAACACTTCGTTTTCGAGATAATATAACTGTTGAAAGTAATTCAAATGAAATTGGGTTATAAACATAATTTTAAATACAATGCAACCTTTTCTCCAAAAAATGTAAAGTACCCACGCCAATGGATTTTTACTTTTTGAAATTATCTCGAAAGTGAAGCGTTCTACGATCTATGTTTATATGCTTTTTTCATATTTTAGGGTATCATCAGGTAAAGTATATCAAGATTAGTCACTATAACCTGACAACTTATTATGAGTTTATTATTGAAATTACAAAAAAGTTTTTAATATAAAAGTTTTAGGTTTTTTATAATACTGTAAGTATTAGAAAAAACAATTGAATAATGGAAATCGCTAAATTAAAGAAACTGTTTTTATTTTAATGGAATACCCTATATATTAGTACATACTTAGCTTTATTAAATTTTTCTCTTTTCAAACATATGTAATATGTTACTGATTGATTCAGGACTTTTCGACATATTTCAGTTTGAAACTATTTTTGAAAAAACAAGAGGGAAATTTATGTCTGACGGATCGCAGTGGCGTGTTCCATTAAAAATATTTTTTTCTTTAATTTAGTGATTTCCGTTATTCAATTGTTTTTTATAATACTGTATTATAAAAATTCATAAAACAGCTAAAACTCTTGTATTAATAACTTTTTTCTAATTTCAATAATAAACCCACAATAAGATGTCAGATTATAGTGACTAACCCGATACAATTTGGGACACACTGTATAGAGCGGTAGTAAGCGAAAGATGACAATAAATTTTCTGCCTTTATTTTTATTTTATTAATTTTATCTTGTTGAACCTTTTTACAGCATTAACCTTAGCCTTAATTACAACTTAATAATTAATTAATAACCTAACCTTAGTTAGAAAACTTGGACCGGCCCTTGTTATTCTCGGGTAAAACCGCTACGGACGGAACCGTTCTTCAGCCAGTGTAGTCCAGTCGGATGAGACTAAAAAAGTAGTGTTTAAAAAACTTTAAGAGGGTATTTTCTTATTGGTAGTTCTTAGGAAGGGTATCAGAATATTAGGAAAAATATTTGCGGTGAACTGCTTGTGGTAAAATATTGTTTAAATAAAAAAAGAAATATTCGAAAAACCGAGCTTTTTTTGCTTGTAACCATCAAATTGTTATTACTGGTGAAATAATACAGGTTTATATTGTAATAGAATGAATTGAGCCAAAGATTTTAAAAATATCAAAGGGAAAGGTAAATTTGGGAAAATAAAATTAGTAAAATTGATTTTAAAGAAATGCAGTAGTACAATAAATAGTACAATAAATACAGTAAATACAGTAGTGCAATAAAAGTGCAGTAGATGGTTGAAATTGAGAAAGAAAAGACAAAATAAATAAAAATTAGTTCATGATCAATTAAAATGTTTGTAAAAAAAGGCATTTCAAACAAAATTTAAAGAAATATAATGTAAGAAAGTATATTCAAAATTAAAAATGTCATTGGTAATTAAAATTTGGATTACTAGAATTAGAAAGTGATTTAAAAAAAATAGTGGTACATGGAAAGAAAAGAGAGAGGTAACTAAGAAAAATAATAAACTGAGAAGCTGACAGCAAAAGTTAAAAAAAGTAAATTTTGAATTTGAAAAGAAAGATAATTTAATTATCAGAAAGAAACAAGTGTATTTAGTAAAGAAAACTATATATAAGAAGGAATAGAAGAGAACATAATCACAAAAACTAAGTCAATTGAAGAATAAGGACAAGAGAAATCAAAGTAACAAGTTAAGTGTTATAGCATATTACCCAGTATCGAGTACACCCACACCCAATTCAAGTCACCAACAGGGAGAAGTAATAAAGAAATAGAAGGAAGGAGACAAATAAACTTATTTTTGATAATGTCATTTTACTATGTAGGTATACTATATTTGAATATTTTGCCACACTTAAAAAAAATAATGAAAAAATAAAAAAGATTAGTAAATAAACCTCTGTGCCAATAGAAGTAGTCAGGAGTTGGTCTTAACATATTTTTTTCCTGCATGAAAGTAACGAAAAGGAAATAAGTTTGAATTTATTTTATTATTTCTTTAATTTGCAATAATTTTTAAGACGCACTAAGGCAAAATATGAAAAAATTAAATGTCACAAACATTTAGAAACACCAATGCTAGGATATAACGCTTTAAAAAATATATTTGTGATTATTATTGTATATTTGAAATATACAAGTAATAAAGTATTTACACTAATTAAAAGTTGTTTTCAACGCAATAGATTTAATGTTTTTAGAGAGACTCACTAAATAAAATATATTAATACTTCATTTTAATGTAACAATAATACATTATCTATTAAATATATGTATAAAATTATGCTACATAAACGGACCTTTTCAACGTATGGTTCAGCACCTAGAAATGATTTACATATTAATTTTTATGATATATGTAAAGATGAGGAGGGTCTACATAGTTTTAAAACACTTGTCAAGTAATTCTTTGGAGTGAAACAAACACTAAGTAATAATATCAAATAGGTAACAAAGGTTAGATAGTAAATTAATTATAACGTATTTACTAAAATTAAATTAAGTTTAGATTAGGCTGCATCCTTAAAATCAAGTACAACAGTACATAATTAGTACATTAAAAGTTCAAACTCTTCAGGTGTCTGAAAAAATTATGTACCACCAGAACCTTGTAGCAAACGATCACTGAAACAAAAAAAAGACAAAACATAAAAAAATTCTAATTGCAAAATAAATTTTTAATAAGTAACCTACCATTAATAGGTATAATACAGTTATATATTTATATAAAGCGTGATTCAAAAAGCGACTCAAATATTTTAAGAGGGAATTATGATTCCTCGAAGAGGGGGAGCTGAAAACTATTTTTTTGCTTATAACTTTAAACCGTTTTGGTGTATCAAGCTGAAATTTTCAGGATATTTTAAGGGTACCCTTCCATTAAATTTGGAGTTAGTTAGGGGGGTTAGATTTCATTATTTCAACCCCTAACTTTTCTCAACATCTATATAAAATTAATTTTCGCAGTTTTCTACATAAAAAGGTACTGGTAAAATGAACCGTTTAAAAGTAATTGAGACAGTTCCAAGGTTTCTCTCCCTCAAGCCAATTGAGACTCAAGCAGAGGATCAGAGCAAATGGTAGGAAGGGTGCTATGGGACTTGAATAGAATCTAACCACAGGTTAAGAAGAAGAAGAAGAAGTAGAAGTAGAATTGAATATAAAAGCCGATCTTGCAGAGCTGCAGAGTAATATTGCATTGACTAGGTAGCCTTGAATATTTCTTTATTAGCAATAACGAGTATAAGATTTCCTTAAAAAATTAAATTCATAATAAGGGTTCAAATTACTTTTTCCTGGATACAGAATTCTATTCTTCCCTAATCGAAATTGGCATAAATTAAAAAAAATACCCACATTATTCATAAGCGCTCGACTATTCTCAATTTTTTTTTGCAATTCTGACGGAGTATCAACTACGTTGTTGTACAGCTTTGACTTCACAAAGCTCCAGATGGTGCATCTGCATCTCTGTCAACCATTTTTTTGCAAACTATTGATGTAATCATCTTTTAGACAAGGTACATTCCCATCATACATAAACCCCATGTTTTTGCGTGTTTCTAGTGGGACTTCTGTCACTTGAAAAATGTGATTTTCTAAAATATTCAAGTACATGTAATAGTCTTTCCGAAGTCAGTTGAACATGTAAAAAAACACCTGGCAATAAAATTTAATGACTTTTATAGGCGTCCCTAAAAAAGTTTTCTACTAAAGGTAAAAAATTATAATACATTTCTATTATATGTTCATTTAACCAACAACATATTTTAAATGTTTATGTCCTCAAACTATTTTATTATATATGCATGGTAAATTTTTGTTCCGTTTCAAAAGGCCTCCAGAATGCCATGTTGTAATAAATTAAAATTACCTGAATCACACCAAATTCCGCATTGCTGCACTGCACTGCTGGGCAATTTGTCAACATCTGTCAACAACTGAGATTTATTGCCAGTGGACCAATGCAGCTGTGTTAGGTTTTGATTGTCCGCCCTCGCATTCTTTAACTGGGCATATACATTTCTACCACCTCCACGTTTAGTTCGACTAGACCTGTATATGGGTATGGTTAAACAAATATGGGAAACATGTTTTCAAATATTTCAATGCCGAGTTGCTGCGTCAACGACCGAACCTGGTACATACTGTCAACGTCTTGGTTCTTCGATTGGTATCGGAAAGACTATACTATCCAAATATCGTGATAAAATATGAAGTCCAATGAACTTGTTTCTCATTGTTGTTGCACTGATTTTAAAGGTATGTTGATAATGACGTTTTCGGAAAACATGTGGATTTTCCTCATTCTGTAACATTCCATTCCTCAGTAAAAATGATTTTACTGAGGAAACCAGTATTGGCTTCGTTCATTTTTGTCATAGTTAGACAAAAATCTACTCGGACCGGTAGATCATCTGGCAAAAGTTCTTGCACTCGAATGAAATGAAAAAAAAGTTGTTCATGTAACACCATAAATGTTATTGGTTATTGAAGCTAACATTCTTGATGTAATTTGCCTTGTACTTACTGTTGGCTCTTGGACAAGCGACAATCTCTAATATTTTCTCTTCAATTTCAACTGTACGGACAGATCGTGGTCGACTTGTATTATTTTTTATCTTCATTCGGTTTCCCAAAGACGTTTTTCAACATTAACAAACGTACGCAAACTCTTCGGCGAGGAAATTTTTCTCCATATCATCAGACAGAAACATTGACATTGCTCAAATATTCACATAATTGGATACTCCACAAAAGTGTACTCTCCCATGTTTTCAAAAGTAACATTAATTTCGAGCACTCAATAGCACTACCATTGAAAATATGGAAAATTAATTTTATATAGACGTTTCTTGCAAAAAGTCGAAAGTAAAAGGGGAATTGGAATAGGATCTACTTCCCTTGACTAATCCCTAAGCAGGAATTTTTTTCCCATTTTGCAACTGTTTAATAGTAGGATATCTTTTAAAGATGCTGAATCTTTCAACTTGATACTCCAAAGGGTTTGAAAGTTATATCCGAAACAGTGGTTTTTATCCCCACTCTCACTTCGTGGAAGGATCATAACTACATACATTTCAAATTCTGGACACTAGTATGTTGCAGGCAATTCATTATGTACTATCAAAATTGAATTTTAAAGTTCATTATTTTTCGTAACAGTAATTGATTTATTTAATACTAAATAACTGACCATTAACTCTAGAGAAACTATTGAACATGGGCCACTTGATAATAATTTTACATGAAATTTATTTTGTTTAGAAAAAATAGTGTATTTATTATCGTCATCAATTTCATAGCTAACAAGATTTCCGAGATATAACCTGAAGCATTTTTTTTATGGAAACCGTGTTAATAACTGACAATTAAAAATAGAAAAATTACCTATATAGTTTAATATTTTTCTTTATACAACTATTCTTGGTTTTCTTTTCTTAGTTAAGAATACTTTGGTGGCTTCTATAGATAAATATTATTAGCAGTAAACAGTTTATACTGATATATTTTTTAAAACTAATGAAATGCCTAAATCAATAAAAAATCAGATATTTATTTGAGATACACGTTACGTTTGAAAGGAACTGAATGACCTTCTGTTTTTAACAATTATTTTCTATTATTTGCCTTTATACAAGCAATTCCAAGAAATAAGCATTTGAGAAAAAAACAATTCAGAGAAATAAACGCCTATTTTCTGAGAATTGATACCGGTCTGTGAATTCCCTTGAAGGTTAAGAATAAGTTATTAAATGTAAGGAAAAATATTTCTTGAAAAAATTTGATTTTACTTTTAGTTACTCATATTAGTGCAATAATTATACTTACAAGTTACAGCGAGTCCAACAACTAAGTGTCCAACAATAAATGGCGTATTGTTGAGTCCAGTGTGATGTATGATTGCAATAAAGGTGCCAATCAAGTAAACTATGAGTGCGATAGGATTTAAAATCAGCCAAGGTAGCAAAAGAGTTGGATGATTCTAAAAAAATAAATGGTTGATACTTCCTGGCATTTGATTATCTATAATACAATATGTTGTAAAATGCAAAAAATTTAAGAAAGCAATGTGATTTGACTCGAACAAGATTTAACTTTGGTTTCAGACTTTACACTAATTGCTACATTTGTTACGTAAATTCTGAAAAGTACTAAAAATTATGATTCTCTTTTAACAGTAATGTACATGAGAGTACAAAGGCCCAAATGGCTAATTCTGTACACGATTTATTATATAAAATATATACTTACTGTTACTGCTCCAAATATAATCATAATAGAAAATAGACACTGAAGGGCACTCCCTATAGCTATAACAATCAGAATACTTCTGAGAACTGAAAAAGAAAAGAAAGTGTTACATTATTTGAACAACCGAATCCGACTACACGGTACCTTTATTACATCTGTAACCTAATTTTTCTTGCAAATATTCTAGTGACATGAGTCAGGTTGAAAGGAAGAAAGAATCAGCAGAGGAAGAACTAATAGAGCCACTACTTTGTTATATTAGAATGTGTTATATTCTTCATACTAATAAAGTTACCTGTCAAGTCAGGAACTATGGATGGATCCGACATATCCAAGAGTTCATGTGGATTTTCAGCATACGCTGAGCTGAGTACCAAAAACATGAAGGCTACGACACTTTGAAGAACCCCAATTATGATGGTCCCATTCTTCAAACTGAATCCGCAGCAATTAGATACTTCCAAAGTCATTTTAATTCTGAAATATAACGATACGTTATAAAACTAATGTATTAAAGGTGACGAGTAAGTGCGTAGTAACTATTTGATTAATTGAACAGATTTGCCATATATATATATGCACTATTTTGATCAACATTATTATATGCCGCAGGAAAGTAAGACGAGTATGACTTAAAGGTTAAACAGTTTCCGGGCTGGTTGCCACGTCATTTGCTCTGTACTTCGCAGCTGCTGATTATTGTCCGTTGTTATTGCTCGGATAATTTTAATTTCATGCTAGGAAATATACAGTTTGTCGCATATATACTAAATCATTGTATAGCTCTTGAGTCAGCGTCTTCAATTAGCTTTAGCCAATTTCATTTGACAAATGCCCATTGATCCATTATTACTGTGGTTTTCATAGTGTTCTTAATACTGTGGTTTCCTGTTTACACAGTCATAAAAGTGTTCAAAAAGATTTATGTGATATTGTAATTTAGGCGAAGCAAGACAAAATACATTACCAGCTTCTCGCTTGTATGCATAACGTTTTTTGCGTACCAAATGGCGCTACCTTTACCGCGGTGGTTTAATCAAGGCGTAAAAGGTAAATTTAAGAAATTGTAATAGTTGAAGAGATAGATGTTACAAGCACTCTTATAATATTGTTGCAGCAGGGGAACAAATTTTAAATATCGTGGAAGAAAATTCGCGTAAGGAAATCATTCGGCAATCATACGAAACTCAAATCAATATCATATACAGAATGTTCTCGCAAGACTAGCGGAAATTAGAAACATTTGCTTTTGTTTGTTAAAACTGGATCAGATCGATCGGTGGATATCATTTTGAACAATTATTGTAGCATCATGAAGATACAATTAGTAGAAATTAATAACAATAATAAAAGCAATAATTTTGCATTCTCCTATGTGTTAATTGTCTGTAAACACTATGCCCTAGCATGGCACCATTAGCATAGTAATAGTAGTAGTAGTAGTATCTTGACATATACAGGGCGAGTCAGAAAGAATGGGTCTACACTAAAATATTATATTTGAGCTGTGAGACGGAATTAACGATGCGGACGATGCCGTTAACATAATAGAATATTATTTCACATGTCAATCTGGTGCCCGGACGTTGGTTACATGCGCTCATATCGCCTGAATTTTGTGGTTTTTAGGCTACGCGCGGCATCAAAATAATATCAATTACCCCGATAAATTCTTGCTGAATTCAACAACAGATTTAACGCAATGAGAACGAAAATAATATTGAAGTATTAGGTTAAGGCATTAGATTCCTGCTAGACAGGATCTTTCAACTCTGAAAATTAGCCCTTTTTAGGGCTACATGATGTGCTAAGTCTGATCTAGCAACCTCCCCGTGGTGCACATCGGGTCACGCAAATGCAGACGGCAATCGCTATGATTTTTATTGAACGATAATGATTTATTGAATGATTGTGAAAAATCGATTGTACTGATCGTGATCTGAAAGGTCATCTCAATATCGTTTTTTTCAGTCAGAGATCTCGATATATCGGCGATAGTTTATTAGGTTATTGGGCGTTGAGTATTGTAGTATTTCTTACTATACTATGCAGGTAATGAAATCTAAAGGATTGTAGCTTCAGCGAGTTGCAACTTTGAACCATGTATTTTTAGGGCTTAACGCCCATTGACACTACCACTACCACTACCACTCAAAAGCTACAAAAACCACCTAGTCTCAAACCATTTGACCGAAAACCAATTTACATAAAGATTCCGGCGGGGTCTTTTTTCAATAATTGAGAAAGTTTTAATAGCATGACTTCGAAAATTGGTAGTATTGGGTTTTTTGGTGTGAGAATTACGAATTTGAAGCTTAATTTGAATTTGCTCCCAGAGGGCGCTAGTTTCGCCGTATTATTTAGGTAAATCAAAACATATATTTTTTATCTGTTGAGCTATGCTTAAAAAAAGTTAAAAATCTAAAAGAACGTTCAATTCTACATAAAAATTGTACTCTTGTTTAGGTCACCTTTTTAGGTTTAAATGCAAATAACTTAGAAACCAACAAAGTTAGGCGACCTAAACAAGAGTACATTTTTTATGTAGACTTCAAAATTCTTTTAGATTCTTAACTTTTCTTAAGCATAGTTCAACAAATAAAAAAAATGTTTTGATTTACCTAAATAATACGGTGAAACTAGCGCCCTCTAGGAGAAACATCAAAATAAGCTTCAATTCGTAGTTCTCACACCAAAAAACCCAAAGCTACCAATTTTCAGAGTCATGCTATCAAAACTTTCTGAATTATTGAGAAATTTCAGAATACAATTTAAACTTTGAACACCCTGTATTTCTTAAACCAGCGACATTCGTATAATGTATGATGAGCTCAAACATAATATTTTGGTGTCTAGTATCTCCAGTTTACTCTTGACCCATTCTTTCTGACTCACCCTGTATACAAGATTTATTTGAATGTGGCAAAAATAAAAGAGATGGATGTCAGCGTCGAGAAATGAATGCTCCGTTCAGGTATATCATTCGTTTAAGTTATACACAATTCCGGGCCGTTGAAAATAAAAACTCATTTTTTTTCAGTCCCTTGACCTAATTAGCTTTTAAATATTTCTATAAGTCTCTTTAGTTAGTTCAAATAACTTCATTATTAATTATGAATCGTTAGCTTGCTGGAAGGATTGTTTTAATATATCCAGATTTTCACGAAAGTGACGTAAGTCTGCTATTTAATTATCTCATCGAATTCATCATGTAAAAATGGAATGTGTACGAATCTGCATCAGTTCCTCTCTTGGTTTACTAGACTTTCAGAGACTTCTAAGTTATTTGCATTTAAACCTAAAAAGGTGACCTAAACAAGAGTAAATTTTTTTGTAGACTTGAAAATTCTTTTAGATTCTTAACTTTTCTTAAGCATAGTTCAACAAATAAAAAAAATGTTTTGATTTACCTAAATAATACGGCGAAACTAGGACCTCTAGGAGCAACGTCAAAATAAGCTTCAAATTTGTAATTCTCACACCAAAAAAACCCAATACTACCAATTTTCAGAGTCATGCTATTAAAACTTTCTCAATTATTGAGAAATTTCAAAATAAAACTTAAACCTTCAACGCCCTATATTTCTTAAACCAGCGACATTCGTATAAGGATGATAAGCTCAAACATAATATTTTGGTGTCTAGTATCTCCAGCTTATTGTTGACCCATTCTTTCTGATTTACCCTGTATATTTTTAATGAACTTACTGGGAATGAACTCTTATTCTTATTACAAAGTTTTTGGCGCATATCAAAAAAGTGAACAGAAAATATAATGCAAATGTAATACTTTCATAACGAAGATGATTTGAATTACTTATATATTGATTAAAAAACAAACTAGAAAGTAAATACACATAGTTCCGAAAAAGAATAAAGAATGAAAAAGAAAAATCAAAATAGGAAGAATAAACAAGGACGTAATTACTAATATACTTATTGACATAAATTAAAATATAAGAGGTACAATTTTATTTCGTTTTTTTTTTAATGCATGTTTACTAATTAATGTAATTTAGTGACAAAACCACTTTACCATGGCATTGCTTAATTAATCGTTTCACTGATAATTGTTTTCTAATTTTAATTAAGTAAATTGGCGATAACACTGTCTATATAAATATTTTACTTTAGAACCTCGAAATTCAGAATTCGATTTCGTACCAGAGAAATATTATTATTCCAACAAACTAGTTACGGACATAATACCGCTAAGAATAATTACAAGCAGACCGCGAAATATTATAGAACCGTAAAGCAACTAATTATGAAAAGATTTCGCTGTTGAAAGTTGAGTTCTCTTGCAACAGTAGCCATGATTCTTAAACAGCTGTGGAAGATGTGTATTTAAATATTTATGTAGATGCAAATGTTTTGGTAAATATAACATTTTAGGACATAAAAGTTTGCATTTACATTTATATTAGCACATAATTAAATATGTAAAATAGAATATGCTATGAAAAATATTTTATTGCAGCTAATAAATTTCTATTTATTTTCTAAATAAATAAGAAAGAAAAAATGAAAGAGTTGATTCCTCGTTGGAAATTAAGTGGGGGTTTCATGTAAAAGAAATTCTGTCTACCCTCTCCCTGTGGATTTATAGCACTTCACTTAAATATAGAGAAAGTTACAAAATAAATAATATTGCTACGATACACATTCTGATCTTCATAAGGACATAAAAAGAAAATTTGTAATAAGCGCGCATATATGTAGTGAAAAGTTGTTAATAATTCTTATTATCGTTGCCGCTACTATGAGTGTCATTTCGTGTAAATTTGATGCACTCTATTTATAGTCGTACCAATGGTAAATCTTTAGAAACATTTCTAATTTACGCTGAAATACGACTACGACTACGTGAAGCTTTGAGGAAAAGAACAGGAAGAAGCTGTACTGAATTTGATTGATGAAGAACCGAAAACCATCACTAGAAAAATTGATTTTCACTTAAATGTCAACCACATGACGATATGGGCTATCTTAAAAGGATAACTTTTATATTCCTTTCACATATACTCCAGGTTGCTTCATCGGCAGATCGTCTGTATTCTCGATGGAAACCAATTTTTCAAGAATATCGATAATTAAGTAGATATTATAATAATCACATGCGAGACGAATATCCAAGTGTCTTAGCTTCATGAACACAAGTTTTCAGAATCAAGAATCACGCATTCATTGGAATTCTTGGAAACCACATAAATGGTCCGAAATGTCTTCACCGAGACTAAATGGACTGAATATACTCACTTTCAAGAAGGAATACTTCCAGTGCTTCTTGAAGATGTGCCTCAGATGTCAGACCTCGAGTATGGATTATGAATGATAGGGCTCCTGCCCATTTTAGTACGGCAGTATTTCAAGGAAGCATTTACAAATCGTGATGGTCCTCAGTTTTGCTCACCTATAGGTTTTTTTATATTGGACTACTAAAAATCTTTATCCACGACTATTGTATAATGTACCCA